GACGGCGTAGCGGGCGCGAGAGTCGCTGGAGGCGGTCGGCCTGAGGTGCAAGGGGCTGGAGGGCCCGTGCGCGGAGGCCACCTTCACGGGCCTGGTGTTCGACGAGGCGAGGGGCCGCGTCGGGCTCAGTCGCCGGCGCATGTGGCGCATCCGCCTGAGCTTGCTGCACGTTGCCGACCGCGGGTCGGCCACTGGCGACGAGATGCGGGTTCTTCTCGGCCACTTCACTTGGTGCGCTGGTGCGCCGCGAGCTGCCGTCGATCTTCTCGGCGACCTACCGCTTTGCGTCCTGGGCTGGCGGGCGGCGGCGCCGCATGTGGAGCGCCGCGGAGGCCGAGCTCCGCATCGCCGCCGCGCTCGTCGTGTTCAGCTACGTGGACTGCCGCCGCCAGCCCGACCCCGTGGTGCTGGCGACCGACGCCTGTGGGGCGACGGACGCCGACGCGGGAGGGTTTAGCGTGGTGAGCCGCGCCTGGGGCCCGCATGACGTCGGCCGGGCGTGCTCGCAGGCAGAGCGGTGGCGCTACCGCGTGTCAGAGGCGGTGGCGGCTCGGGCGCATGCCCTCGGGCTTTCGGAGCGCCTGCACGCTGCCGATCGCCTCCCGCCGCCCGTGGGGGCCGACAAAAATCCAAGTATGTGCAGCCGCGAGTCTCGCGGTTCGGCCAAGTCTACACCTCTGGCGAGGACCCGGCCCCCCGTCTCGGAGTTCGAGCGGACGTTCGGGGACATGTAATTACTCGGGGGCCGTCTCGTTCGAGCAGATCACCTCGGAACACGTCGGCCCTCTCGAGTCGTGGCAGCTTCTGGTGAAGGACAGGTTCAGCAGAGCCGAGAACATGATCCGTCTTGAAGGGCACGGGGTCGTCATCGGCATTCGGCATCATCTTCGGGTGGCTTCTCGTCGCGGGCGCAAGCTGCTCGTGCTGTGCGACAACTTGGGCCTCGTGCTGGCCCTTGGGAAGGGCCGGGCGGCCGCTCCCCGCGTGAACAAGACATGCCGCGAGGCTGCCGCGCTAAGCATCTTCGGGGACATGTCGGTCACCGTTCGGTGGATCCCTTCGGAGCTTAACCCGGCAGATCGACCCTCTCGTATGGCTGGCGCTTTGGCTCGAGATCCGCGGGCGGACCCTCGCAACGCCCGCTTCGACCCCGCAGTGGCGCCGCAGGGCGATGCGCAGACTGCGCTGGCCGCGGCGGTGGACCAGGCGCTCCTGTGTGGCGAGCTCGACGGGCTGGGGCGGCCGCTGGTGGGCGTGGCGGGTCTGGGGGCCCCCCTCCTGGACGACCCGCTGCCCGGCGGCGCGGCGCGCCTGCGCGCCGAAGCTGCAGCCGGCGGTGACGCGCTGAACGGGGGGCCCAGCAACCGTGAGCTTGCAGCCTGGCAAGGCTGCCCAGCTCAAGTGGACGAGAGTAGCTCAAGTTCAGACGAGGGATCTGACGGCAGCGAGGCCAACGACTCCTACGACCCCGAGAGCGACGGGCCGGCGTCTGACGCGGGTGCCCTTGCCGGCGCGGGGCGAGCAGCTGACGGCGCCGCAGGCAGGGGTGGCCAGGCGGATCAGCAGCCGGGCCACCCGCCGCCGCCCCGCGGCGGCGCTCGCGGCGCCCTCCAGGCGGCCCGGCCGCCGCCGCTCGCTGAGCTTCCTGGGCAGCAGGCGCGTGATGGACCAGAGCCACGACGCGCCGAGCCCCGAGGCGGGGGCGTTCAGGGCCGGGTGCCTGGAGCTGCGCAAGGACGTGGGCTTGAGGTCGATGCTCGACGAGACGCTCGTGGAGTACCTGGGCTGCTTCTACTCCGACGGCTACAACCACGAGTGGGGCGACGGCCTGCTGGCAGGCCTGGCGTTCGAGGAGCTGAGGTTCAGGCGCGGCGGCGCGAGGGATCCTGCGCGGGCCCTCGCTGCCCTCCCGGGCTTCCGCCGCCTGGCGCCTGGGCAGGCCGAGACGGCGCGGCCGAGGGCCAAGATGGCTGCGCTGCTGGGAGCTGGAGTCGTGGCGCTGGGCGTAGTCTTCGGGATCAGCCTGGCGATTGCGGGGGACAGAGGGCTGCTGCTGCCAAGCGACAGCATGAGCCGGCAGGACTGGTCGTTCGTTCCGTCCCCGCCAGGCCTCGGAGTTCAGAGCGGGGTCCTGCTGTTGTGCGCCGCCAAGACCAGCGGCCGGAGCAAGGCGGGCCGCAAGGATGTGGGGCTGCTGCTCGACGGGGTCTTCCCACAGGGCATCGATCTCCAGCTCGGGCGGCTAAAGAGGGCGGCAGGGCACGCCGCCAGCCTGTGGGCGTTCACGGCCGCGGAGTTCAGGGCGGGGTTCAAGCGAGCGGTCGCCGTGATCGGACGGCCAGCCCCGCAAACGTACCAGGTGAGGCAGGGGGCGATCGGCGACGACGCGCGGTGCCAGAGGCGGTCGCAGGGCGACAGCCGCGCGGTGCTGCTGCAGCCGCGCGACCAAGCCGCAACGGGGCGCTGAAGGCGGGGCGCCTGCAGCGGCTGGGCGACGCGC